CCCCCCGCCCAGCTCTCTCTCTCCCTCCGGCCCGAGGCGGGAAGGGTCCGAAAGCAGCCCCGGCCGGCACCTCCAGCGGAGCCTCCTTTCTCTTCCCCCCGCTGGCTGGTCTCGGCGCCCCTGAGGAGAGAAGAGGTCAGGCGAGGCAGAGGCTGGCGGCCCCTCCCTCCCTCTGGCCCGCGGGCCAGGGTGGGGGGGGGCGAGGGCTGCTCGGAGCGGGAGGGGTGGGTCTCTTGTTGTATAGAAGCGGCTGTGCAGGCGAGCAGAGAGGAGGAAGGGAAACGCCTGTCACTTTGCACAGGGCATAAAATGCAAACGTGGACACACAACACACACACACAACACACACACAGCACTGCAGTTCAGATATCATGAATCCCGTGGGGGGAGGGGCGGGGGGAGCCTTCAGTGTGGAGGTGCTAGTTTAGTTTAGTTTTAGTTTCAGTTTTATTATTATTTATAGGGCGCCCTTTTCCCTGAGGGGACTCAGGGCGGCTTACAAAATATAGGGAAGGGGGTACAAAACAGTAAACATGAAACAATACATGAGTAAAAATAGTACACAATCATTCATTCATTCATCATTCGGGTGGGGACAGATTACGATCTTTATCCCCAGGCCTGACGGGATAGCCAGGACTTAAGGGCTGTGCGGAAGGTCTAGACGAAGACTGGACTTCGATGAATAGAATGGTTTCTCCCCCTCCTCCCAAAATGGTTTTTATTCTTTATTCTCTTACACACCATTTTAAGCATACATTCATTTATTCTTCACACCTTATTTGTTATTCCATTTAATAGGTTGTAATATATACAGTTTGGGTTGCTTTATTTACCATCCCTTCGGCCTGTTTTTTTTTAATTAAAAAGTTTTAATAAGTTTTACAATTGTATACCTTTCCCCTTCCCTCCCTGCCCCCCAATCCCACAGCCCTTCCCACCCTTCCGCCTGTTGTAACACCTTATTTTCCCTTTCTTTTCTCCCTCCCTTCTCTACTGCCTCCCTCCTCTCCTTTTCCTTCCTTCTCTCTTCCCTTTCCTACCTTCTCTCCTTCTCTCTCCCTTCCATCCTCTCCTTACCTCTTTCTTTCTCCCCCCCCTTCCTCTCATTCTCTCCTTCTCTCTTCCTTTCTTTTCTGTTGTTATGTGTTTCTTTCAAATCTCAGTTTATGTTTCCTTGGGATGGTTTTTCCGTAAACCCAAATATAATTTGGTATCATTTCTCATTCCCTTACCTTGGCTAATCTGTCCTAACTATGGGGTTTTTTCCCCCAATAGGAGGGTTTCTAAGGTCCTCCTCCTATGCACTCTTGAAATGTGCAAAGACACCGCTAAGTGGTTATTATGCATAAGGGGCGCAGCTCTTGTTTTAGTCTACCGATGCTACTACGTCACTTCAGTTAGATCACCGGCTGGTTTAAGGCATAATGTGCAAGTCATACGTTGTAATAAATCCATTTTATGCACCCTTAATTTGACAGGAGAAACCTTTTGTCTGAAAGAGGCCACGTTTAGCTTTTGAACCTCCCTCGCTGGTCCCTTTTTCAATTGTTTAATCTAGGTGAGCCTAGATTCCCAGTGGTGGTTTTGCCTGGTGATTTCCCCCAGCCTCAGGAGGCAAAGGGTTTGTACAGCTGGGCAGAGGTCAAGAGAAAAGTTTGCTTTGTCTTCCCCTTGTTTCCACCGACAACGGCACTTCCTTCGTTCCACTGTGGAATTCTTAAACTGGGAAAGTTATGCCCGTCCTAATTCCCGGATGTCTTCGTCTGCTCCCCTTCAGATGGCAGCACGGAAGATGCTGGTGCTTTATGGCAGCCAGACAGGAACTGCCCAAGATAATGCCGAGAGGGTCGGCCGAGAAGCCAAGCGACGCCATTTCCACTGTAAGGTTGAGGCCCTGGACGACTACCATGTGGTGAGTAGCAGCTATGATGACTTCGCAGTGATTTCGGCCTACATATCTGTAGAAAACCATCCCGCCTTAGCTTATGAAGTGGCCTAAGCTCAGCTTTCCGACCTGTGGAAGGAGCCCCTCCCTCAGTCGCATACCCACGAACCCTTAGTAGGTGGACAAAAGGAACAGCTTCCAGCCAGAAGAGGTCAGCTTTTCCTGGTTTCCCCAGAATTGGGCGGGAGCTGCTTCTCACATGTATTGATGTCCTTAATTTCAATAGCCACCCATCTCCACAAGTGGTGCTTTTGCCATTTTAGCTGCCCCCCAAATAGAAATGTGTTGGTGGAAAGATGGGTCAGCAGTGAAATCGATGCTCCTGAGGGGGGGGGAAAAAGAGCCTTGCTGGCTGGCCTTCGTTAGGAACTAATTGCAACCCTCTCTGTGTCGTTGCGTGGCTTCTCGGAAGGCAAACCTGATCAATGAGCCGCTGGTGGTATTTGTCTGCGCAACCACAGGACAAGGAGACCCTCCCGACAACATGAAGGTCAGTTCAGAAACCCTCCCCTTGTTCCTGGGGAGGGGGAGGGGGGCCAGGCAGCCATGAACAAAGCTCGCTCCCTTCCATCCCTGATTGTGGTACTTGATTGGGCTCCAATCCTTTGGCATCAGAGTTTCCCCCGTCTGTGATTTGGGCCGAGGAAGGCTCTGAGCCGGAGAAGAGCCTTTGCCTGCGTGGCTCAATGTGGCTGACCTGGCTAACACCGCTCGGTCTTTTCCTTGCCGGTCAGCAGGGGTGATGGTGCCATTCAGCTTTGGCTCCCCCCCCCCCCTCTAGTGGCGCGAGAGCCAAATTCCCAGGACAAGGTTCCTTTGGGGGAAAGCTTCCAAATTTACGTCTTCCTTGCGGACTCCTTTAATTTTCCAGAATTTCTGGAAGTTTCTATTCCGGAAGAACCTGCCTCCCACTTCCCTGTGCCAGATGGACTATGCTGTTCTGGGGCTGGGGGATTCCTCCTATCCCAAGTAAGTGCCACTTCTCTCTCAGGGGAATCAATAGTTCTTGGTCACGTTGAGGCCTCCAGCCTTCTGAGCTGCTGACTAGGCTTTGGGGCTCTAGATCTTTGTCAAAAAAAATATATATATGTGGGGTAGAATTAGCTAATGGGGGGGGGATCTAAACTTTATTAATTCTGATTTGCACAAAAACAGGTAACTGAAATGCTAGGCGAGTGGGACGTTTTCCTTTTTTGCTTGTCTTTGAATAAAAGCATCCACTATATTCTGAATAAGATTTTCAAACCACTTTTTCTCCTGCAACTTTCCGTCCCCCCCCCGTTCCCCCCTTTTTCTTTTGTCCTATGGTGGCAGTGGCTCTCGTCCCTTAAGGGCCTTTAGGCTCCCCTGTGGTGCTTAGCAAACTCTCTTCGCTCTTCAGGGGGCACATCCAGGGGGGCCAATACGTTGCTCAGGTTGCTGGTGAACAGATTCCTCCCATCTCTCCCCCCACACACACACATATACACACACCGCCATTTCATCCCCCCTGCCTGCTTTTTCCCATAAGATTGCAATGTTTCTCGTGCCAAATGCAATGAGAGGTGGAGGCTTAACAAGTTTGTTGTCCACCGTGATGAAACAAACAAGGAGT